GTTTTTGCCATGCTGGAAATAGTCCATTTGTGACCTCTTTCCCCTCCAACAATTCACTAAAAGGTTTGTGCACTAATAACTCATAGCACTGTATTCCGAGTAATTCATTAGTGGCTGAGCTGTGGGTGTGGCCTTCCTCAAAGTTTCCGAGGAAATCTCTGGTCCCTCTGGTGCTCAGGTGGAAAAGGTGACATTTATTTATTTACTTACTTACTTACTTTACTTACGTAAAGACTTTCTGTATATATTTCAGATTTCAATATTAATGTCAAAAATACATAGTATGATGTGTTTCTAGTATATTCAAACCCCCTTTTAATTGCTTTTTCTGATTTGTGTTCTATCTTATTTTTTGGCTGTTGTACCATCATAATATAACACATCCCCTTGTCATACCATTTTGCTGTTGTAACATTATTACAGCTACATTAAAAAAAAACCAGACAAACCAATCACAAAGTGAGTTGGTACATTAATTAGTAGTGGCATTGTTATTGCAGATAAAATATGTGTAAACGAGGTTCTAAAAACATAAATGGTGCAATAGAGAGTCAGCAACCCACTATAGCAGTTTCCAAATGGAATAATGCAGCATAATGGAATGGTGTGATAAGGCCACACAGGTAATGCATTCTAAACCACCCATTCACAATATGGATAGTCACATAGTGTGGCCAGGCAGATTTGTGAAAGAAAGCTTGCATCCTGGAACTTCTATACTTCTTTCTGGAAATATTTTTATTGCCATCCCCTTATTCTTGAGAGATAGGGAAGCTTTTGTTGTTGTATTGTCAAAGGTTTTTATGGCCAAAACCACTGGGTTGTAGGTTTTTCAGGCTCTATGGCCATGTTCCAGAAGCATTCCCTCCCATCCACGGCAGGCAACCTCAGAGATTGTGAGCGTCAGGAGGGAATGCGTCTAGAGCATGACCATATAGCCCAAAAAACCTACAACAACCCAGCTTTTGTTGTTGTTTTTTTAAAAGAAAACTGGTGCTTCTGGGTCCTTCAGACTCCCTGGTGAAAAGCAATCTCAGCTTCTTCATCTGGAAAGAAGTGTATTTTCAACTAGAATAAAAGGCCCTTCTCTCCCTCAACTCTCCCTGAGTACTTTTCTGATTTTATTGCCTCCCACAGAATCTTCTTTAGAGCTGGAAGGGGCCACAGGGTCCATGTTGAAATAGACCTTTAAGTTAACACAGCTTCAGGACATTTCCGTGCCTCTTCTGTTGATCATTAATCATTTCTCCATAATTCAAGTCTTGGGTAGAGCTACAAAAAACTCTCATTCTCTTTGCTCCTGGTGATCCAGGAAAAGATTATTCAAAGAACATACAATAGAGCCATCAACATGTGGCCAGGACTGCACTGATGCACATCAGAGTAAATGAAGACATGCCACTTGGCAACCTTTAATACAATGATGGCTGTTGAGCGACATGTTAGCTCACGGACCTCTGTCATTAAACTAGATATAGCTTTAAACAATCAAACTTTCGGTTCTTTTCAACGTCTGATGTAAAGGAAACACACCTTGCTTACTTGGAAGAAGTAAAAATGTTGTCCCCCCCCCCCCCAAACCATTCACGTAGAAGGGCACTGGATTTAAAAAGTTCTGGTATATAATATGGGGCAGGTGTGGAAGACAATCTGCCTTGAAGCAGAACATTTCAAATAAATATATCCCACTTTTCTTCAGCTTGGTCTGGAATTCTGTGGAATTATTGCATATACTAGGAACTGATGTACCCTATTGCAACCGTTGCACAGAAATAAGGCTGCCTAGAGGTCCAACAGCACTAATGTAGAGTCTCTCGGGGTGCATCTATACTGTAGAATTAAAGCAATTTGACACTTAAGTGCTATAGCACATTGATATGGAATCATGGGAGTTGTAATTTGGTGAGGCAATCTCACTGAAATTAGTGCTGCCAACTGTTGGGTAAATTGAATGGGGTTGCTCAAGATAGAGGTTTATGGTACCTCAGTTCAATAGTTTTTTATGTGTCTTGGAACTGTCTTGTACAATCTATATTTATGGGAATTTTGATTTTGCCAGGTTTTTATATTTTGATGTGTAAAGATGTAAAATAGCACCACTTGAGGAGATTGTAATATTCTGCTGCTTTCAGAACTGATTTTTCCTTCTTCACAGATATGATGCTCATAAATCCTGATGTACGTTCATGTACATCACAGGGTTTTGCCAGACTTATATAAACAGGAATTTCAAAATGTTCACATTTTGTCATGTCCACTAGTTGAGATGAATTTGCAAATGTTCACATTGCATCTCACCTTTAAAAGTTCTATTCTCCTTCACATCTGGTCATGCAAATCCATAAAGAGAAACCTTCACATCTAAATAACTCTTCTTTATAATAGCAAGGGTTTTTTTAAAAATAAAAAACAAAAACATACAGACATCATTTATGAACTGCATACCTTTTTCAAGGCAGAGTAAGTTCAGAAGGTAGGCCCAGGAACTTCTGCAGCCATTTTAGGAGGATGCCTGGGGGCATCCATCTTAGAAACTAATTTCCTAGAGGGGGCAGTGATTAGGAGCAGCCTGGAGGGAAATGTGGGGAGTTTGTGATTATCTGGGAGAGAGTGGACAGAGCTTAACTTGAGAAAATAAAAAAATGTCTTTAAGGGTGTGTTTTAAAACCTGACAGCTCAGTTAAGTTCTGTGTATGAGAGAAGAGAGGAGCGAGGGTTTGGTGTGAAGAAGAGTTAGAGAAGCCAGAAGTTGGTTGGTTGGTCAGCAGAGTTAGTTAGTTAGAAGATTTATAGCTATTAGGTAGAATAGCCGGTGGAGTGGAGAGACAGATCCAGAAGAAAAGGACTGTCCATGTGGAGTTTCAAGAATACTAGACAGAGGGAAAACTTGTTAGATTCTTGAAGGAGTGGAGAGTTATTGAAACTAAGTGCTGAACTTTTTATTGAAAGTAACCATAGACTTCTATCCAACATTGCAACCGCTAAGCTTAAAGCCTGTATTGTTCAAGTTCTGTCAAATAAACAACATTTGTTCACAACAACTGTCTCAATTGTGCCTCTGTGTGAGAAGTTTTAAAGCAGCTTATAGAAGAAATCAGAGTTAAATGGTGGCAGTGTGTATTTAAAAAGAAATCTCTTTGTTACCTCAGTGTACAGAGCCTGAGTGCAAATCCAGCACATTCTAGCCTATTCAAACTTCAAGTCAAGCCAAGGGCTAAACATTTCTTTTAAGTGTGGTGGTAGCTATTTATTTTATTTATTTTATTTCAATTACTTATACCCCGCCCTTCTCACCCCCAAGGGGGGACTCAGGGCGGCTTACAAACAATGGCACAATTCGATGTCTGAATCAATAAACAAACAATACCTAAAACGATTTAGACAGTTAACAAGTTAAAAACATTAGTACATAATAAATAGCAAAACAATCTCATGCTCAGTGTTCAGAGTTCCGTATATCCATTCCATTCCATTCGTCCATGTTTGTCGTCAGATCTTCCCTTAGCTGCCAGCATGTCCAAAAGCTTGGTCCCATATCCAGGTCTTCAGTTTTTTCCTGAACGTCAAAAGGGAGGTCGCTGATCTAATCTCCCCGGGGAGTGAGTTCCACAGGTGAGGGGCCACCACTGAGAAGGCCCTGCTCCTCGTCCCCACCAACCTCACTTGTGATAGTGGCGGGGTCGAGAGCAGGGCCTCCCCAGACGATCTTAAATTTCGAGATGGGATGTAGAGGGAGATCCGTTCGGACAAATACACTGGGCCGGAACCGTATAGGGTTTTGTAGGTTAAAACCAGCACTTTGAATTGTGCTCGAAATTGGATCGGCAGCCAGTGGAGCTGATGTAACTGGCTGGAAAACAGCTAGTGTTTTCCAGCCAGAAGATCGTTCCAGCTTTTTCAGCTTTTGATTTTGCTTAAAATAAGCTACAATCTTTCATATTTGGTTAGCAGCTTTTGGGATTTGTTATTAAATAATCCCACAATCCTTTATAATTGGTGTCAGCATGTGGGATCGCTAATTAAAATCACATAACCTTTACAACATCCATCCACCATATTTTGTAGAAGCCCATGTAATGAAGGCACTGTGATTATTAATATTTATTCAAAAAGACATCCTACTTAATTAACTGCTGCTTACTTTTTTGTTTTTGTTTTTTTCATGACAGGAGTGACTTGAGAAACTGCAAGTTGCTTTCTGGTGTGGATAATTGACCATCTGCAAGGACATTGCCCAGGGTACGCCCGGATGTATTTGATGTTTTACCATGGGAGGCTTCACTCATGTCCCCACATGGGGAGTTGGAGCTGACACAGGGAGCTCAACCCGCTCTCTCCGGATTCAAACAGTCCTGCCAGCTTACTACCAAGTAAATATTCATAGGACTGCAATGGTACTTGTCCACTTACAAGCAGGTTCCTCAGTATTCAATATTTATTCCAAGAAAACTGATATAGGATCTGGAGATTAGATTTTCTTTTCTTTTTCTTTTTTAAAAAGATAGCTTCTTTGTCTTTGTTTCAAATACAGGCAAGCATAATTTTATTTGTTGGCTCCTTCCCTTCCCTTCCCTTCCCTTCCCTTCCCTTCTCCCTCTCCCCCTCCCCCTCCCCCTCCCCCTCTCTCTGCCCCATATGTAACTTCAGGTTTACAAGAGAAAATTTTGTCAGGTGCACGCTTTTTCTCAGGACTGAGAGAAGACACAGCTGCTGAGATACCCTTCCACATAACTTTGTGTAGGAGACCCATTCCTTCCCCCACCTGCTTACCTTACACACAGGGACATGCTATCTGTCAGCATCAGATAATGTTTGCTTCCAACTAAAGTGGAAGGTTGTTGTTTTTTACAAAATGGTTGGTGTAACACGATTTGCAGCACCCCCTTTGTTTGACTTTAGGGAGTTTCTCTGCTGGCCCATTTTGTGTGCAAGAACCATAAATCTGATATAAGGAGGAAGTAACTTCCTCTATCTTTCTGTCAGAGGAATGCAATCCTAGAGCTAAAGCTGAATGACATGTATGCCCTGCCCTCCCAGTCCAAGTGATATCAGAGGAGCAGATTGGAGGGTTTGATTGTTCTGCAGGCTGGCAAGGAAGCAAAGTTCTCTTGGGAAGTTTAGCAAGAAATCATGAGATATATGAGGTGGAGGTTTCCTAAGGTGTCCTGGCTGTTTTTATCAACCATTTTGTTCCTTGTTCTCTTTCTTGCTGCCTACATTGGCTTTCTAGAAAAACATCCACGCAGGTAAGAAAAGATACACCTCTTCTCAGAAACGCGGAATTATGTTATTTGTTGTAACAAGCAATCCATGCTTATCTTTTTATAATGTTACTATGCTTACCCACCTCTGGCTTCTCTCTCAGGGATATGTCACCAATAAATTAGTCCATTGTTAAAATAATATTTTTCTGTCGTCAGCTCACTTTTATTGGCAGGGCGATCAGATCTCCTCGTACAGTTTTGAAAAAAATGATTCTGAAGTCAAAACTTCCTCACGGCTACTAACTTTTATAATCCCTCACCAAATCCTTGTATAGGAGTAAAATAGATAAATGGGACAAATCCCATATTGTGGTGAAACCATAATACACTTTATGTTTATAATATGGATATTGGAATTTATTTTATGACCAGCATAGCTCCCTGCCAGTTTTTTTTTTCAAACTGGCAAGCTAGTTATAATGAACATATTTCTTAAATTATGTGTAAAAGTAATCTACTTGCAAATGTATTTATGCAGAATCTCTGTGTTAAGCATAGTGTCACATGAGCTACAAATTAATTGGAGTAGATGGCGGTTGTATTTGAGTTTCCCCCCTTCATATTCCATATTGTTATTTCCAAATTACTGACTACAGCCACTGAATCCACATGGACTTTCATGAATCTATTCACCTGTATAGTGGGCTTTTATCTTTTCTACTGGTTCTCATTTTAGCAAGCATTGCAATTTACTTAATAAGTCCTGTCATCTCATTTGGCTTTTGGGGAGAATCAAGGCTTAATTTGGTCTAGGATCCATTGGTCATTTGACAGTTCGTGTTATCCACAACTCTCTCCTGAGATTTCAAACAGGTTGATGTACTGGAGAAGTAAACACCTTTTGAATGCCTTTTACAAGAAAGACATATCCTTGATAGTCCAAAATGTGTTCCCCCTGTCACCAGTTGCATGCCTTACATCCCAGGAGTCTCCTAGATCAGAAGGCACACAGTCAACTACTGGGTAAAACCAGGGAACACGTATGAGCAGCGCTGTGTCTAATGATGCAACTGGACATTCATGTTGTGTGTGCAGATAATGGCAATGACTAAATTTCCCTGTCTGTTCCATTGAAAGACTTGTTACCTTGCCCTTTTTACTCTTTACTCAATAGAACAGTATAGGCAGTCCCCGAGTTACAAACATCCGACTTACAAACTACTCATAGTTACAATTACAGATGGAGGTGAGTCAACAGGGTTGTCTATACTATCTGTCTGTCTGTCTGTCTATCTATCTATCTATCTATTTCTCTATCTCTATCTCTATCTCTATCTCTATATGTGGGCTGGAGTTACATTTAAAAATTTATCTGTTCTGACTTACATACAAATCCAACTTAAAAACTAACCTACAGAACCTATCTTGTTTTAACTTGGAGACTGACTGTTACTGTCTTGCCCCAGTGCACCCCTCATCTATCCCAGGGCCATTATATTTGGCCTTACCCTGCAATGTTGCGGCACTCCCACCTTCTCCCTCCTCTTTCACTGCCAGTTTCTGACTCCCTTATCATCTCCCTTCCTCCTGCACAATATCAGCACACAAGGGCTTCAGTCTGTCCAAGCAATTCATCTACCTGAAGAAACCTCAAACACAACAGGGCAATATGGTCTGGCTATCTGAAACAGGCTCCAAAAAAGGACACTATTCCAGTCAAATACAGAAAACTGGCATTTTCACTTCAGATGTGTGTCTGGGGAATGCAGAAAATCCACACGCGCTGGGACAAAGGTGGAAATAATAAAAGTTGAAGGTTCTTCTAGGTAGGATGTGTTATGCTGTGCACCCCATTGGTTAGTTTCAACTATAGTACCCATTGATTCACTGAGTCTGTTTTAATGTGAATTAATCAGCAGGATTGAAATAATGGCCTGTGATAAAGTTTATATGTGAGCAGTGTGTGCGTGCGTGGTATCCTGAGTCCATATGCTTGGGTGCAGTGTGTGTTTACTCTTTATCATCCTTCTGTGGCAATGGGTGGGTGGGGGTTCTTTTATCTGTTGTGATAGTAACTATGTCAATATGCTGTGAAAGGATAAGGACATCTGGTTTATTATCCTGACATTCCCCTCACCCCAAATATCATTTGAGGATGTCTCTTAAATGCACACACTCTAGAGTGGAATAGTCTTTCTGGACTAGAAGATGGCATAGAAATACCTTAAATAAATAAGTATTCCGGGTGTGGCAGCACATTATTCGTAGTCTGTCTCCATGATTCCAGTTTCACGTCTGCCTTACGTTTTATTTCCAAGTTCCTCAGGAACTGTACTGCTTATACGCTACTTGCGATGAGGTTTTCCTCTTTCTCTGGATTTAGACACTGTTTTTAAAGTGTTGAAAACAGGCAAAATTGATACTTGTTTGGTCAAGGGGGTATCTTACATTCAATCACTGAAGGCACATTGGAATAGCCAGGTTTTCAGGTTCCTCCTGAAGATTGCCAGCATGGGGCCAATCTTTGCCTTGTTTTTAAATGTTATTGCAATGTGTTATGTCATTGTTAGCTGCCTTGAGTGATGGGGGAAAAGGCAGGATAAAAATAAAGTAAATATAATGCAGACACATAACAGCTGCAACAAACAATTATCCCCAGTGTCACCCTATTTGCTAGGAAGAATACCTGCTATAGCTGTATTCGATCTCATCTTAGGAGAAAGACAGCTATAAAATCAATCCAATCAATCAATAAAGGGCTTGGTTGACTCAGCCATGATTTGAAAGGCACTTTTTCCGCTTCAGTAATAGCTACTAAACTGGTTTGTAACTGTAATCAAATTCCAGTGACCATTACAGTTACAAACCAGTTTAAAAACAAGGCAAAGATTGCCCCCATGCTGGCAATCTTCAGGAGGAACACGAAAACCTGGCTATTCCAATGTGCCTTCAGTGATTGAATGTAAGATACCTCCTGACCAAACATTGCATAAAATGACCTCAGAAGCACTTTATTTTATGGTTCGTGCAATTAAATCCTTCCTTATCCCCAGATCCTCCTCCCAATAATTTATATTGTCCTATCATTGAGTTCGGCCCTGCCCAGCCTCCTTTGTTTTAATGTTTGACTTGCTTTTGCTGTTTCGCTTATTATATTGGTTTCACATTTATGTATTTTATGTCTTTTCACCCTTGAAGGGCACAGCAATGATGCTTGGGATGGAGGGAGGGCCTTTCATCTGCATGTTGGCCTGTGCATGAAGAAGCTGTGGCTGTGTCTTTTTTCTTTCTCTCTGAAGTAGTGATTCTCAACCTGTGGGTCCCCAAATGTTTTGGCCTTTTACTCCCAGAAATCCTAACAGCTGGTAAACTGGCTTGGATTTCTGGAAGTTGCAGGCCAAAACACCTGGGGACCCACAGGTTGAGAACCACTGCTCTAAAGCCAAGGCAATGGCCGTTGGGATGGAGGGAGAGATAGGTATATTACTGCAGCCTGCAGAAGTTTGGAAGTATGACCACTGGGTGATTGGTGTTGATGTAGCACAAAAATTAGATAGTGCAGGAATTAGTACAAAGTCTTTTCATATGCTTTCCTAATGTCTTTTACTAGATCTGCTATATATTTGTTGCTTGTATACGCAGAACACATTTTTCAGTCCTTCTGATAACATTTTGTCCTTGTTGGATTATTGCAATGTGTGTTGTACATGGAGCTCGCTTTCAAATCCACTCAGCAGCAATAATGAGTGCACAGTGCAGCTGCCAGCATTTTTTACTTGCATGTGTTATTCAAATCACATCTGGCTAGTCTTATAAGAGCTGTGTTGACTGCTTGTTTGTTGCCATGGCCAGTTCAAACCACTGATATTTAACTTCAAAGCTGAAATGGATTGAGGCTCTCCACGGTAGCTAAAAGAGCACCAACTCTCACATCAATTTGCCTTTGTTTTAAAATAATATGCTAAAATTCTTTGCCAAGTGCTTCCTTCTTTTAAGAAGAGCCAGTTGGCTGAAATGAACTATGAAATAAAAGAGAATCAATCACCACAAAGTTATTTTCTTTGAAGCATCAGACAATACTTTTCCTGTTCTTCCAGGGTATGAACTATGGTTAATCTATTGACAAGCTGGAATGTGCCCAGAGAAGGGTGACTAAAATGATCAAGGGTCTGGAGAACAAGCCCTATGAGGAGCGGCTTAAAGAGCTGGGCATGTTTAGCTTGCAGAAGAGGAAACTGAGAGAGACATGATGAGGGCCATGTATAAATATGTGAGGGGAAGTCATAGGGAGGAGGGAGCAGGCTTGTTTTCTGCTGCCCTGGAGACTAGGACGTGGAGCAATAGCTTCAAACTACAGGAAAGGAGAGTCCACCTGAACATTAGGAAGAACTTCCTAACTGTGAGAGCTGTTCAGCAGTGGAACTCTCTACTCCGAACTGTGGTGGAGGCTCCTTCTATGGAGGCTTTTAAACAAAGGCTGGATGGTCATCTGTTGGGGGTGCTTTGAACACAATTGTCCTGCTTCTTGGTGGGGGTTGGACTGGATGGCCCACAAGGTCTCTTCCAACTCTATGATTCTATGAACATTTAGCTCTCAGTTAAGGTTGTTAATCTTGCAGATATGTATCATTACTTGTTGTGTTGTGGGCACTGCACTAGAGACACTTTTTCCTGACTAGGAGAAAACCAATACATAAAGGTTAATAAATATCAAATCCATTACATTCCTCAGACAAACTCAAGTTTAAAATATTTTGATATCAAGTTAACTCACCTGGTAGCATTTCTATATGTGTATTAAATGCAGTCTTGGTTTTTAATGCATAAAATCTCACATTCAGTGCACATTGAGTCTAACTAGATCGTGGCTATAAACCATATCCAATAGATCCAAGGTTTTGTCAAGTGAAAGAAATTGTCCAGTAAACTGCCTGTGTGCACTATCTCGTATATATTTAATATATCAAATGTAAATGTGTGTTTTCTTAACTACCTTTCAGTCCGTTTTCTTATTTCCATTGTGCCACCGGAGTACCACAAGGGGACATCCAAAAGGCTATCCTGGCACCCGTAACTGCCAGTAGAGTGACACCAGTGTTTCCAGATCCGATACTGGGGCCAAACAGCTCTCGACTGGAGCAAGATGCTATTAAAAGATTGGGAGCCATCAAATTACATGTCCAAAATGCTCCATTCAAAGGCTCAACAAAACCAAAGGAGAAGAAAACCAGGAATAAGAATATCATCTCAGTAACCAGTAGAAAGGTGGCTGAAGACAAGTTATGGTCCACCCCAAATAAGAATAAAGAGAAAAATAAAAGTACCATGCCAAAACACCATGGAAAGAAGCAAGCTGAAACCATAAATACGACACAAGCATTCAGTCCAAAGCAGACTGTGAAGAAGGATGCAACCAGAACATCCGATCTACTGCAGCTTCAAGGAGGAAACATCATAGCACTCCCCAATACAAACCAAACCAAGAAGAAACAAAGCAGAGAACCAAACACAACTGGAATACACTCTGCCAAAGTGAAGCCATTTTCTGTTGTCACGAGTCACAACGCATCTACTGCTAAGGTTCAACAGACCACACATCTAATTCCCAGAAACAGGTTTAAAGCATCTGACTTCAAATCTCAGCCCCATTGGGATTTTGAAGACCAGTATCTCCTAGACAATTCAGTCACACAATCAGTAAGTAGTTATATAGCATCACATGGTCATAATTCTTATGAAGGTACTGCTGCTTCTGTATAACGTGTAAAGATAATAATAGCTTACTATAATACTTCAATTGTTTTTATCATCTAGGAATCAGTGTAAAGTGTACCTTTGACTTACCTCATAATCTTTCCTGGCATGGTGAGCTCTAACAATGTTTTTAAACACCTGCACTGATCTGAGAAGATTTATATAGACTAGAGCCGTGGTTTTCAACCTGTGGGTCCCCAGGTGTTTTGGCCTACACCTCCCAGAGATCCCAGACTCTTTACCAGCTGTTAGGATTTCTGGGAGTTGAAGGCCAAAACATCTGGGGACCCACAGGTTGAGAACCACTGAACTAGAGAAACAATAAGCTATTATACTTTAGTCTACTTTCATTTCTCAATAACAGGAGACGTCTTGAACATCTAGAACAATTAGTGATGACTGCTGTTCCTTTGGGGTTTAAAAAAATGTCATTGCTAATATTAGTATTTGTTTTTCTGCACAGTGGCTAGCCTACTTGTTTTTTTCCAAAATGCAGCAGCACATTGCTTGGAAGTGGTGCCATTAATCACATTGAGACCAGAGCAAATCAATACTCCCTCCCCAATGTTTTAAGTGGACTTAATTCCCTGAAAGTACCAACTCTCATCAGATCTTGGTAGTTAAACAAGGTCAACCCTGGTTAGTGAGTGGGTGAGAGACCACTATGGACCTCATCACACTTACCTTTTTTAGCTTCCTTGGGCACTAAGGGGACAGTCCAGCAATGAATGGGCACACTGTCCATCACATGTCATCACTGGACTTCCTGTTGCAGCCCCACCCCCAACTGGAGTGGAAACATCATAGGGCACTTCCCTCCTAATACAGGAAGGCATTTCACCGCCGCTTCTCCCATGTGATGAGAGAAGCACTGCTACTCGGAAGCGGCACACGGGATAACAGAGTCTCCTCGCATCCTTGCCATTTTACCACAGAGGCTGGCAAAATGGCATGGGGCAAGGGTCATCTGTATGATGAGGTTGCAAGTAAAAAGAGCTGCTGTAGGCAGTGGCAAGCCACCTCTGAGTATCTCTTGCCCTAAGAAAATCCTATGAAATTCATGGGGTCACCATAGGTTAACAGGTGACATACAGGCACAAAAAACATCAACAAATGTTTTGTGTGATGTTATTAGTTCTTCTAAAGCAGTGGTTCCCAACTTTTCTTTTGACCAGGGACCACTCTCTAACATCAGTATCAAAAGAGTTTCAAATCAGTTTTTGGTCAACTTTAGATTTGGTTTGGTTATTTGGGGTGCTGATTCAGAAAACTGCATTGAATAGACCACATCAGCTCTAGTTTCTGATACAACACATATGCCATCCAGTAGTCACCATCTGCTTGCCCACAGAAAACCATATTTAATAAGCCTTGGCACAATAAGAGGATTTCATGAGACCAGTAGCTCTTATTGCAATGATGTAGTAACGGCAGGCTGTGGCCCATATTTTAGTTCTTGCGGACCACTGGTGGTCCACGGACCACAGGTTGGGAACCACGGCTCTAAAGAATTGCCTGAGCAAATATAGGGACATAGGCTGAGATCATCATCTTTGTTGGCATAACAGCAGTGGTGGCAATGTAATGGTAGAGGAAGCCAAGTTGCAAGTGCTACGACCTCAATAGAAGCCACTTCTCTACTGCTACTTTGTTGTTAACTGCTGTCACGTTGTCTGTGGCTTATGGCAATCCCATGAATGAGACACCTTCAAGTCACCTTACTACCAACAGCTCTACTCAGGTCTTGCACTGTTGCTGTGGTTCAATAAATGAAAAAGAGACGTGCTGATATAAGTGACCCTAATGGATCAGCAGCACAATTTTTTTTAATTTTCTAACCATTTTATTTAGACTTTGTGTAATGATTTATTGCTCATCTGCAAGAATTAATATTGCATTCGTTAAAAATCATTCATATACAAAATAAAACTATCCCCACCTGGGTTGATGCTATAACATGCTCCTTTTTTCCTTTTTGTATTGCAGTCCTCCTCTTGTTTCTTGATTCTCTTATCACACATTTTGATCCTAGAATTGGCTTGGGTCCCTCTAAGCCAGTGGTTCTCAACCTGTGGGGCCCCAGATGTTTTGGCCTTCAACTTCCAGAAATCTTAACAGCTGGTAAACTGGCTGGGATTTCTGTAGGCCAAAAACCTGGGGACTCACAAGTTGAGAGCCACTGCTCTAAGCCAATGTGAGTGAATCTCCAAAACTCCTCCGTGATGTTCAGGAGGATACCTTTATTCCATTTGTCTGCCTCTGTGTTGCAGTGTCAATAGATGACTTAGCTAAGGGCTCCATCTCTGTATAAGCCATGGAATAAACTCTCATGCCTGGCAACACCTCAGTTCAGCACAATTTTTTAAATAATCCTCTGGATCTGCCACTGCATTTGCTTCTTGTGTTTTTATCTCAGCTGCAAGGTATGATATTGTTTATTTAAATTGAGTTTAAGGCTGAATGTATAGAGCTTTATTTCCACCCAACAGCTCAACTTGGGTTGTTCACCAACAAGATCAAATCTGGCAACAGAGATACAGACACAAGAGCTAGACCCTGTGTCAGGAACACACTGATGTTTAGACAGATTTTGGTCCTTGAAAATACACTTCCTAACTTCATTTCCCTCTATCTGTGTTTCAAGAGCTGTCCAGATTCCCTGCAGGTCAAGGCTGCCAGATCTGATTGGCTAAAGGATGTTTTCCTACCCAACATCACTCTGTTCATGGACAGGAGCCATTTCAGTGACAGTGAATGGGAGCGTATGGAACATTTCCAACCACCTTATGGTTTCATGCAGCTAAACTATTCACGTGAGCAACTCTTCCAAGGGGGAGGCAGACATGAGCCAAAAGAAAAACATTTTCTTTTTGGAGCAAAAAAATGTAGGGTTTTATATTTGGGTACCTTGGAATTGTCTTTTAAGGTATGAGCAGCTCAGCATTGGCAGGTGGGCTTTTATTGATTTTGCTTACTTGTAAGGAAAGGGCAAATTATTTTTCCCATCAATTGTCATTAAAACTTACTTAAATATGAAGACTGATATACACAACATGTATTTAGAAGTGTCATCCACATATACCTGAATATTTTTAGTGTTTGACCACTTAGTATACTTCTGATTGATAATATCTGACAGGGCTTAATTATAAAGGAGTTTGCTCTTGGCGATCTTGCCAGTCATGGTGGGCTAGGAGTGGGCTCAGCCTTCCTAGTCTTGTCTTAGGTAGAGTTTGATTCCTCCTGCCTCTAATCACCCAGCTAGAATCAGTGTTTATATTACTACTAGTACTAAGCATTGTTGAACCTTCATGGCCCATCTTCAGGACAAGATAGCAAGTTTAATGATTTTGGGTTGAGCTTCACTCCTGTATATTAGTTCTATTTTGTTTCTCTCTTAAATCAACTTTTTTTATTTGCCAGTCATCTGTAATGAATGACATTTGTCTTCACAGTGGTGAAAGAAGTCATATCCTTGCTTCCCCCTAAACCTTACTACCAAATGCTCTGGGCTCACAACAGCAGTAACCAGACTTCCCGATGTATCACCTGTGCAGTCGTAGGGAATGGCGGGATCTTGAACAACTCAAAAATGGGCCAGGAGATTGACTCCCATGACTATGTGTTCCGGTAAGAGGGACTTCCCTCTTTTATATTATTCTCCTCTCTCATTATGCTACCCTTCCTTTAAAACAGTACAAGGCTGCTTAGGAAATTTACTGTTAAACAGAAAAGTGTTGATTTTTTTTTAAACCAACAATAATCTAAACATTATAAAACAGTGAGAAAAACAAGTTATTAAAAACATCATCAGTAGAGTATAATTAGCATAGCATCTCAATAGCAGAAAGCTATCTTGGATCATAACAGCAGACAGCAGGGAGGAAGGTTTAGTTTAGTAGACACACCTGACATCTTTAGTGAAACATTAAGCTTCAAATATAAACTCTAAATTCTTAGTCACATAACATGCACAGGCTGGATTCTTCAAATGTATTTCTTTTTTCTCCCTTCAAAACTGATGCTTTAACAACAGTATTTGTGCTCTAAACATTGAGAATTTTCCTCAGTTCCTGTGCATTTTATTTGTAGTTGTATTTGGACTATTTCTAAAATGACAAATTACAGTTTGTCCCCAATATCCAAGGGGAATCCTCCCAAGACCCATGCCTGGCTTGGGTACCTGAAATCATGGATAATAGCAAATTTTATATTTTGACTATAATTGGGATGGAAGTATAATACAGAATTGCATTGGAGGACCTAGAAAGGCCCATAAAAACTTCTGGGAGGAATTTTTTGTGTGCACAGAGTTTTTTTTGTATCTATAGATGTTAAGTGTGTATGTGAAGGGATCATACTGCATAACAAATATTCATTAGATTTTCACTCTTAACATCTACAGGAAAACTGTGGTTCTGCATGAATTTGATTGTGCTGGTTTGTAGAAAACTGAATCATACTGATTCATACACACCTTCAATTTTTGCATCTCCTTTCCTCTAGAAATTTGACAAAGTTCCATCTTGAGTTGATTATATTACAGCAGCCAGTGAAATTCATCCATTCCAGCAAGCTCCTTCACTTGATTTTACTAAAAAAATGTTGGGAAGGATGAATTGTGAGGCCAGATTTGTCAATCGGTTTCATGGCATCCCCTTAACTAACTTTGTAATTCAATTTGGTTTCTTGGGCCAGAGTGAGTGGGGCCGTGATGAAGGGCTATGAGGCAGATGTGGGAACAAGAACATCCTTCTATGGATTCACAGCTTACTCCATAATGGCTTCTCATGTGTTACTGCGGAACCGTGGATTCCAGAAGATCCCCATGGGAGAGGTGAGAGAAGTTATGTGTTTTCTCCCTGTGGGACACATTACAGCTTTAGGGAGTGACTCAAATGAGGGGAATGCTAGAAAATCAATTCACCCCAGTGGCATAATGGGCTAAACCCTTGTGCCGGCAGGACTGAAGACCGACAGATTGGAGATTTGAATCCGGGGAGAGTGCAGACAAGTTCCCTCTGTCAGCTCCAGCTCCCCATGCAGGAACAGGAGAGAAGCCTCCCACAAGAATGGTAAAACAGCAAAACATCCAGGTGTCCCCTGGGCAACGTCCTTGCAGACGGCCAATTCTGTCACACCAGAAGCAACTTGCAATTTCTCAAGTTGCTCCTGACATAGAACCCCACCACAAACCCCACGACACTAATTTTCCTTGTTCCTCAACCCTCTGAAATTGCAGGTTTCCCAGTATCTTATTCACGTGGACCCTCAGAAGTCCAATTTAGTATAAATCCCCAAGGATAATGGGACCATTAAGGAAAAAAGACAATGCGGAGTGACTTCTAGAAAGAAAACTGGTGAGTGCCCCTGTATTATTGATTAAAAAGGAGCCCCCGGTGGTGCAGTGGGTTAAACCCCTGTGCCGGCAGGACAGGTAGCAGGTTTGAATCCGGGGAGAGGCGGATGAGCTCCCTCTATCAACTCCAGCTCCTCATGCGGGGACATGAGAGAAGCCTCCCACCCGGATGATAGAAACATCAAAATCATCCGGGTGTCCTCTGGGCAACATCCTTGCAGACGGCCAATTCTCTCACACCAGAAGCGACTTGCAGTTTCTCAAGTCACTCCTGACATGACAAAAAATGATTAAAAATAAAAGAAAGGGTTTCAGCAGGTCTTGGTTGCTATCTGGTTGCATGAGAGGTCACACCTGCTGAAATTCCCTCTTCTACGTCATCATTAAAGATAAAAGACCTATTTCCCATTTTCCTTCTGCTATTCCTAAACAGTGAAATTATAGAAAAATAGTGTTGGCTGCTCTCAATGATTATTATCCCAGCTTTAGTTTCTAATGCATTGATGCTCACAGCTTGAGGAGCCAATGCTTAAAATCTAAGCAGGAGTTTCTCATGCTATGAGGATTAATGATCTAGTGGGATTGGGCTTGGCAGCAGAAGCGTTTTTGCCTCCAGTGAATGTTTTTGACACAGAACAATGTCCAGTTGGTGAAATCCGGGGGCAACACAGTAGGAACCATGTACCTGCTTTATGCTGATTAGGCTTGGGCTGGACCATCGCCATATGCTTGAAGTACCACTCCAATGTTTCTGCTGTGTTCCATTTTCTTTTATTGCTTTGCCCTTGTTCAGTTGATCGAAAAGCTGGGGTTGGCCTGCCATCATTTATATGAACGAGGCCTGGAGCAGGATATGGATTTAGTTTGGCCAGCATAAGACTGCCCAATCCTGCCCAGTGATTATGCGATCTGGCAGTGTTTGCTTTCCATCTGTTATGCCCCCTACCAGCATATGTGTGACATGTTTCCTAGGAGATCAAGTACCTTCATTTCTTGGAAGGCGGAAGAGATTACGAATGGCTGAAAGCTCTTCTACTGAACGTGAAAGTCAGGAAGGGGTTTTTGGACCAATACGGGTGAGAGATGCTCTACTTTCTGAGCTCTTTCCAGAACCCTCTTTCTTCATCTTTCTGCATTTTCACTCTTCTTTTCACAGAACGTTCTGTGATTATCTATCTATGCCAGGACTTAAACTTTTTCCACTTGTGACCCCTTTCTGCCTGAGTATTTTTACACAACCCCAGATATATGTGTATATAAAATGGGTATACATATCAAACATTTATTTAAAATAAATCAGCATTTGCAAAGCTTGCAAAACAGACCAATTTCCTCTTTTTTTTAGTACAACGGAAGCATTTTCTGCACAATCCACTGTAAACACTGCACATTGTTGCTAACAGATTTATGTAAATGGGTGGTATTCAGAAACCAATTTTTTGTCCATTTTTTGTGACCCCAACATTGAGTTAAGGGGGGGCCATTTGGGGTTGGGATTCACAGTTTAAGAAGCGGTGGTCTGTGCTATGGACACCTCTAACTAATGAGACCCTAACATTTCTTATGCTTTCCCTAAAGGTATTTCTGTTTCCTTTCTTAGGCCAAGGCCTCGGGATGTATTCAATCCCAATTTCAACCTTGATAAGTATTTTGTCATTCATCCAGATTTTATCAGATACATGAAAAACAGGTAATTACCTTCAAATATTAGAAATATGTATGCCTTCAAGTTGTTTCTGATATATGGTGACCCTATCACAGGGCAAAACTGTCACAGGGTATCAAATCCTATTCTTCAGAGCCACAGTACTGTGCTCAACCCACTGACACCACACTGGTTCCAAAGCACAGAACTGTCATTGGCAACGCTAATGTATGTGTGTGTATAGTGAAAAACTGAGAGGGAAGGGAAGTACTGATCTTATTTATGCCTTGACTTTTTTTCCATCGTGGAACCTGAGGTGGCTCTAGAACAGGAGTCCTCAAACTTTTTAAACAGAGGGCCAGGTCACAGTCCCTCAAACTGTTGGAGGGCCGGATTATAATTTGAAAAAAACATAAATGAATTCCTATGCACACTGCACATATCTTATTTGTAGTGCAAAAGACACTTTAAAACAATACAATAATTAAAATGAAGAACAATTTTAACAAATATAAACTTTCAATGAGAAATGTAGGCCTACTTTTGGCTGATGAGATAGGATTGTTGTTGTTGTTGTTGTTGTGTGCTTTCAAGTCATTTCAGACTTAGGTTTACCCTGAGTGAGGGCCGGGTAAATGACCTTGGAGGGCCATATCTGGCCCCTGGGCCTTAGTTTGAGGATCCCTGCTCTAGAACATAGAGAAAAGTGGGTCTTCCGCGTCCATCGAAATCTGATTCCAGTACCCCTTGTGGACATCAAAACTCATAGTTGCTCAAGCCCTATTACATACTACACCATACTAAAATGGTGTCCTTATATAATAACGGCAATGCCAGTGTTTGATTTTCAACATCTGTTTTAATATATTCAAGCAGTAAGTGGTTGAATCTGTAGATGCCAAATTTGTGAAAACAGAGGGCCAACCACAAAACAAAATATACATAGCTAAGAACAATTATATAATAGCAATATTTTAAAACAATTAACTATCTTAATAAAAACAACACTAATTTAAAACAAGCCAAAAGCAACTGAAACAGAACAAAGAAAATAAAACAGAGGCTGTATGGTCATCTGTTGGGAGTGCTTTGAATGCGATTTTCCTGCTTCTTGGCAGGGGGTTGGACTGGATAGCCCATGACGTCTCTTCCAACTTTATGATTCTTCACTTCTGTGAAAATAAAAGCAACCCCCCCCCCCCTTTTAAACCCTTATGTTACAAGTGCTTGATATCCAAATACCTATCTAAATGTTTATGCCTCCTGGTAGCGCAGCGAATTAAACTGCTGAGCTGCTAAAATTGCTGACTGAAAGGTTGCCAGTTCGAATCGGGGGAGCGGGATAACTTCCCGCTCTTTGGCCCAGCTTCTGCCAACCTAGCAATTTGAAAACATACAAATGTGAGTAAATCAATAGGTACCACTTCTGCTTGGAGGTATCTACAGACAACGCCGGCTCTTTGGCTTAGAATGGAGATGAGCACCGCCACCCAGAATTGGACATGATTACACTTAATGTCAGGGGAAACCTTTGCCTTACTCATCTAAATGTTTAAAGTACCTTGATGGCCGAAATAGAGCGGAGAGGGAACAAGGCCAATCTCTTGGGAGACTTCCCCAGCTTGCATTCCGGCACCTTTGGACCACATCAAGATGGGGAAGGCTGTATGGCATAATAGGACTCCTGACCCTATTAAGTAATTGTGTCAGTCTTTGGGAGACATAACTTCTTTGTCCCTATTGCTTCAATGGCCATAGATGGTGTGCCTTCCAGAATGATTTCTTCTGCAATTTTGAAACACAAGAACCTCTTTAGAGAGTGTTGTAGCAATTTTAAAAATAAGAAACACCCATTGTAATGTTTATTTTAATGCAATGGCAATATCCCATAGAATACTAGTATCTGAATTTTGATCAGAGGCACCAGAGGAGCTCCCAGACTAAGGATTATAACTGCAATGGGTTAAACCCTTGTATCAACAGGACTGCAGACCCAAAGGTCAGAGGTTCAAATCCAGGGAGAGCAAGTTGAGCTCCCTCTGTCAGCTCTAGCTCTCCATGTGGGGATATGAGAGAAGCCTCCCACAAGAATAATAAAACATCAAACATCTGGGCGTCCCCTGGACGTCTTTGCAATTCTCTCACACCAGAAGCAGCTTGCAGTTTCTCAAGTCGCTCCTGACATGAAAAAAAAATCCTAAAAATTCAAGGTTTCCACAGGGTTTTGTCATGGTAGTTCAAATGGAACCACAACACTATGTAAAGAGACCCTCAAGAGAGGGAGGTGTAAAAAAAAAGGATCTGATATCAGTGGCTGCTCAGCAAACACTGCCTCATGTCCACCTCACTTTGAAAGACATGGGCAAGCTTGTGTCTCAAGGATATTAAGACAAGTGAAAAGATAAGTTTAGCTCCTTGGAGCAATGTATGGGTTTGTAATAATGCCAGTCTTCTATTCCTTGTTTCTGGCTTTTTAAAAAAGGACTCTGCAGGTGGGAGGCTATGAGAACCAAGGCCCCCAAAGACTTCGTAAAGCTGCAGACAAGGAACCTGAGATACAGCATCCTTGTTGTAAAGCACTGTGGCCACATGAGGGCAAAGCTAAACATTACACGGGTGTTTCCTTTTGAAGTATATTCTGTGGAAGCAGGCACTTCCAAGGGAATTTCCCCAATCCCTTTCCTCAGCATTTCTCTCTTGACAATGCTACATCATTTTTCTTAACCAATGCTGACACCAGAAAGGTGAGCTTCCTTGGGATGGGGGCATGGGGAAGACTATTCACAATGCAGAAATGGTTAGCCACAGTTTGAGTTACACATTCTTTTAGCAGATCTTACAGCAAAGCCCTGGCTGGCTGTCAAATCGTGCTACCTGGGGAAATTAAAGTTTTGAAGTGTGAATACAACACCTATTTTATAAAATACCATTTTATAAAATACCATTTTCCAAGAGGGCAGGTACATTCATCTGTTGCAACAAAAACAACAACAATCTCTGGGCATGAGTAATGCATTTCATTTGGCATAAACTATAGTCTGCAGGAGCTCATGTCTTTACAAGTCCCCAAAACCCATTATTTTTTCTATTTACCAAAGAGCTTGGATATTTTGATTTGAACCTCAAAGCACTGTTTCAGTGGTAGCGGCTGAGTCCTAAAACTAGACATTCTGTGAAGATATCTGAATAATGCCTTTAAGAGAGTCCAGTGATATCCTGTGAATTTGTATTAATATTTTCACATTTTAAAAGGTAAAATTTAAATTATTCCCTCATACCAGAAAATTGCCATTGTTAAGATAGGCACCGCAGGTCTCTTGTCCCATGAATACTCCTGAGCATTAGAGAAAGATGAAAAGCATTGAGATTTAGGTATCAATATTTCAACAGTGTCATCTATTCTGAGTTCTGGGTACTTTCCTTTTAAGTAAGTGTTACACAACCTGTCTCCTCCTTAGCATTTAAATATTTTTGGCAAATATATTTACAGACAATATGATGTGTCAGAAGTGATTTGAGAAACTGCAAGTTGTTTCTGGTGTGAGAGAATAGTCCGTCTGCAGAGACGTTGCCTAGGGGATGCCCAGATATGTTATCATCCTGTGGGAGGATTCTGTCATGTCCCTGCATGGGAAGCTGGGGCTGACAGACGGGAGCTAAGCCCATCTCATGGATTTGAACCACCAACCTTCAGGTCAGCAATTGAGCCAGCACAAGGGTTTAAACCATTGCACTACTGTGGCTCCTTTAGACAATATCATTGTATGTCTTTTATCTTCTGTATTTGCTCTTGGGTTTTTTTAGTCATACATATTATACATTTTGCCCTCAAGCTCAGCATGTTCTCTGCATTTCTTTGTTCTTTCCTTTTTGTGTGTGTTCATTCGACTTTTCTATTTAATTGATAATCTCATGAAATATTTCAAAAATACAATGCATATTATTGTCTTTTGCAGGTTTTTAAGGTCCAAAAATCTAGATAAATCCTACTGGGGAATCTATAGACCCACAACAGGTGCCTTCATTTTGTTAACTGCACTCCATCTCTGTGACAAGGTAAAACAGTCCTGACCCTATTTTGGCTGCAGCTCTCAGCAGTCCCAGTCTCTCATGTCCGGTGGTGAGATTGTGGGATTCTGATTTTTATCTGTGGTTGTGAACACTGGAGGAAAATCAATGCATGATTTGAAATGAGGGGTTGGAGGAGAATTCTACAGAAACCCTATATTATAAAAAGTCAAATAAATGAGTCCTTTAAAAAAATTAACCCTGAACTCTCCCTAGAAGCCAAGACACCTAAACCGAGACAGTTGCAAGTTGACCATATCATGAGAAGACATGATCACCAGAAAAGACAGTCATGTTTGGTTAGGTAGAAAGTAGTAGAAAGTGAGGGACATGAAAGAGTCATGTTTGTTTAGGTAGAAAGTAGTAGAAGACTTGGTGACATGATATGGCGCTCCTTACAGAAAGAGGTCAACCCTCCTGTTTAAGGAGTCCCATTGGCTGCTGTTTACCTACCAAACCCAATTCAAGGTGCAGGTGCTTACCTACAAAGCCCTAAACGGTTTGGGACCTGCCTACCTGCGTGACTGCATCTCCGTTTATGAACCCACGCGCTCCCTTTGTTAATCCGGAGAGGCCCTGCTCGCGATCCCACCTGCGTCGCAGGCGCGTTTGGTGGGGACGAGGGACAGGGCCTTCTCTGTGGTTGCCCCCTGACTCTGGAACACCCTCTTCAAAGACATTAGACTAGCACCCACATTGGCAGTCTTTAGGAAGAACTTGAAGACCTGGATATTCCGATGTGCCTTTCCGGAATAGGATAACCTCCAGCACTATGTCCCAGAAGCACTTTATTAGAGTTTAAGACTCTCTGCACATTGCTCTTGCCCAGAAATCCAACATACCACCTGACACACCCAGCACTTTTTAACCTGTACCCATTACTGGCCCGGCCCTGGTTTTTATTGCATATGGTGTAATGTTTTGTTATTGTTTATGTTTTAATTGCTGCTTATGTTTTAATTTGCTTTGAATTGTATTGTTATTATTTTGCTTTTTTGTGTTGAGGCCTTGGCCTTTGTAAGCTGCATCGAGTCCTTCGGGAGATGCTAGCGGGGCACAAATAAAGTTTAATAATAATAATAATAATAATAATAATAATAATAATAACTGTTCATAGCCCGGAAAAACCTACAACAACCCAATAACTGTTCATGTCACCAACATGAATAGTTTGAAAAGCTGTTCTAGGCTCAAACAAGGAAGCCACAGTCTTGCATCTGCAAGACCTGGGCTGGTCTGGCCAGTGTGATATGGAGGTCTCTCATTCCTAGGTTAATAATAATAATAATAATAATAATAATAATAATAATAATAATAATTTGTAGCCCAGCCTATCTCCTCAAAGGGACTCAGGGCAGGACTCAGGGTTGAAGCTGATTTGACAACAGTTAGCAAGAGCAAGTTCAAATTATCTGAAGGCTCAAAGATTCCCCATCTTGGATGAAGGTCTGACCTACTATTTAAGGAAAGGGAAACATTCACCCTACAGGAAAGTGCTGGGTTAACTGCCAACTCCTCAGAGCACTTTGGTGCTTTGGCATCACTATTCTACCTGAAGCAAGGTGGATGGCAAAAATGAGCATCCTTATAGGGTGTTTCTCTCTCCAACTTTATAATCTCCAGATCCTCTCTCCCCAAGTTTACACATACCTCTTTCTTTCTTCTTACATTCTGTTCTTTCATTCTTTACTTCACTGATTAATCTACAGTGTGCAAAATAGAAATAAAAGTACCCAGTAGGAAGACTGAATAAATATTGAGTATCTTCTGATATGCTGTGTAACTTAATCCCGCTGCAACATTTTTTGTTTTTCTAATGGCAAATATATGTGCCATAAGTCCCCTTCTCCATTATTTAAGCCTCATTAAGTGTGCCAGTACCATATGTCTTCATTTGATAAGCCTCATCTACAGATTGTAATTTATTAAGTTATTTTTAAGTTAAGAAGTGAAAGATACATCGGATGATGCTGGGGCTACTTTGGGCATTGAGAAGAGGGGACTTTTGGTAAGGGTGAATCATCCTTTCCCCGTTTGTCTTCTGTTCTCTGAACTAAACTGGTCTCTCACACTTGTCCCCAAGTCTTCTTTTCAGCATTGCTTTTCTGTAGCCAGTGCAGACCCTTTTCTAATTGCATTTCTTTACCTTCCTCAGGTAAGTGCATATGGGTACATCACAGAAGGCTACCAAAAGTATTCCGATCATTATTATGATATGCAATGGAAGCGCTTGATCTTCTACACCAATCATGACTTTGATCTGGAACGGAAGGTGTGGAAAAGGCTTCACGATGAACAGATCATGAAACTCTACCAGCGAACATGACAAGAGACAGAGCCTTGACTGTGACCCCCTACCTTTGGGACAAAAAACTTTGGAGACAGGGATCTTATCTGGATTCAAGCCATATTTTTATTTCTACAGAGTAACTCCTTGGGTCTAAAGACCTTGTATCTATACAGTTAACTCCTCCAAGACATCAACACCATTGTATATACCAGAATTAAATATTTTTCCCAAACCCATTTGGGTCAAATCATTTGATAAATTATTGCAGTGCTAACTGTGTTGGTTCACCTTTCTAAAGACTTGGACAAAGATTCTTCCCACTGCAGCTATCTATATGGTTTAAACTTTGTATATGGAAAGCATATGTGCTCTGTAACAAGCCCATGAGTCATGATTCATATACACAGTAGTAGTAATTCCAGCAGAAACTTCAGTAATGGTAGCATTTCTTTTTGCAGTGCAATGTTTGTTTGATTTTAATTTGTCAGTGCCATAATTTGTCACTCATTTTGCTGAAGCAAGGTGATTGTTGATGCGATAAATTTGAGCAACGAGTAAGCTATTAAATCTTACAACATACTACACAGAGAAAGAACAGGAAGCTTGTATTTGGTATTTGTGTTCCAGCTTTCCAACTAGGGAATTTACATCTATAACCTTGACTTGCGATAAGATTCTAGCAATTGTGTTAACTTAGAAAGAAGTCACTGAAGAACAACAAGCTGCACATGAATCACACACAACCTCTGAAAAAGTACATTCACTTGTGTAACTATTTTTGTAGCAGTCTAGTGCTCCAGTGGATTAGTTTGATAGCATTTCTAAAAAATAAAAAAAGGATGTCCATGGTGGGGGGTGAGAGGGAGGAACAATGTCATTGCAAATTCCAAGACCTACCTGTGAGAAGCAATTGCACACCATGATCGCTTGGTCTGAATGTTGCCTTTAATCAGGTTAATGCCTTTGAAATTTAATAGTAAAAGTTAATGGGAACCTGCTGGCATTATTACCTTGACAATCAGAGAGAAAATACATCATCAGGTGAAGTTTATGAACAATCCCTTTTGGCTTGGTCTGCCCTTGAAGAAGAGCCCTTTATTCTTACAAGAGATGTTAATCTTATCTTTTTTCATTAGTTATCAGCCAGGATTCCCAAATGTTCTGTTTTGAGTAATCTAGGAAATGAACTATACTTTTTTAAGAGACTGTAAATGATAATAAGATGGAAGGTGATTCCTTCAAGATTGTCTCGTTTAGTATTTGCAGCTTAATCTGGATAAGTGCTGAACCTCAACAGCCCCTCAAAATTTGCATCCATCTAGAGCAGTGGTTCCCAACCTTTTTTTTTGACCAGGGATCACTTTGACCACTCTCCAACATTAGTACCAAAAGGGTTACAAATCAATTTTTGGTCAACTTTAGATTTGCTTTGGTTATTTGGGGTGCTGATTAAGAAAATTGCATTGGATAGATCACATCAGCTCCAGTTTTTGATACAGAACATATGCCATCCAGTAGTCACCATCTGCTCACGCACAAAAAACATATTTAATAATCTAGAGCTGATGTGGTCTATCCAATGTAATTTACTGAATCAGCACCCCAAATAACCCTAGCAACAGGCCTGAAATGAAGACACCATGGTACCTGCACTTCCAGGTGCCACATGGAACAGCTCCGCTCAGAGAGAGGGAGGAGGAGGAGAAGCAGCAGTCTGTGGGGATGATGTCCTGCCTTTTGTGGGTGGTCAGCCTCTCCCCTTCTGACATCTCCATTGCCTTGGCACTATAAGAGGGTTTTGCTGTGGGTTTTCCGGGCTGCATAGCCATGTTTATATATAGTTTATATAAACTATATAAACCTACTATTTCATATTATGCCCAGACCCAGCCAGAAATGTCCAACCAAATAGTCTTCCCTCTGCTTGCATCCCATCCTTTGCCTTTCTCTGATACAGATCTGCTTCTGTGGATTTCATTGTTTGTTCTGCCTCACATCACCTTAGCATTTGTCTTGGCTTTGAAACAAGATATGTTGGTATTGCCATGCTATTAACCCTTGCATTGTGGACTCCAGGTTGTTTCCTGGAAGGATGCATCCTTTCTTTTCATGTTACATGACTGAAAGGTTGTTACTTTTTACTATTTTTCTTTAAATTTGCTATGTTGGTCTTGGATGGGTTATATTGCACCGTGACACGCTGTTTTCTACACAGCATCCATAAACACTTTTGGGGATCAAGTTCCAGTTTATTTTTAAAAGAAATAGAATCAGCCCTCAACATTCACGTGGTTTAAGGGAACAGGATTCCTGTAAAAATGGAAAGTGGCAAATTAAGGGGGGGAAATCTCTTGGAATCTCTATATCCTCCAGTGAAACTCTATGGTCAACCACCTGGAAAAGTTGAACATAGAGTCACACTGGAGAACCTAGAGATTCTTAGAGAACCCATATTAATGAAACCTGCCCCCTGCAAATGTGGAGAGCTGAATGCAAAGAAAAACAATAACATAAAGGAATGAGGATATAGAATCAAGCAAAAGTAGAGTGTAAAAGAGTGTAAAAGCAACCTGGGTCCCAGGAAATGTACATGTCTCCTATCAACCACTCGTCAGTTGTTATAAACCTTGAAACCTGTGGGCCAAGACGCTGGGAGGGAACTGGATTGGAGGAAAGTGATACAAAAACTGGTGAGACACGCCATGCATGCAAGCTCTGGGAGACCTAATGTTTAAAGAAGAGGTTTGGTGCACAAGAAAGAGCAGCCTAAGGAAAGGTTAGGGAAATACATAGTGATTAAAATTAATTTCATTCTCTTGTTGCTTCTGGTTGCCCAGTGTGGAACACATCTTGCCACGCTAAAAAGGTGGATGTGGCTCTTAATGAGACATGCTGCATTATCACAGGTGGTCTATGCTCTAAAACACTGGAGAAATTATACTGTTTAGCGGGTGTTACATCACCCAACATCTTCCGGGAAGTAGCAGCCAACAATGAAAGGACCAAGGCAGTAACTTCTCTGGCCCATCCTCTGCTTGGATATCCGCCAGCACACCAACATCTTAAATCAAGAAATAGCTTTCTAAGATCTACAAAGATACTTGCAGGAATACCTCAGCAAGCAAGAGTCCAAAAGTGGCAGGTTAAAACCCAAAACCTCAAGCCACGGCTGATACTGAATGAGAGACTCCCCCCTGGGCACACAGAAGATTGGGCAATTTGGAAGGTGCTGAACAGACTGCACTCTGCACCATGAAATGCAGAGCCAACCTTAAGAAATGGGGCCACAAAGTGGAGTCCGCGACATGCGAGACCACCTATTACAATGCAGCCTGAGCCCTGCCACTTGCACAATGGATGACCTCCTTATAGCAACACCAGAGGCACTCCACGTGGCCAGCTACTGGTCAAAGAACATTTGATTCAATGCCAAGTTTCTATACGTTGTGTTTTTTAAATACATCACAACGGTACCCTTGGTTTGCTTCTGATACGATCAATCAATCAATCAATCAATCAATCAATTCTCATGTCCTCCATCAATGCAGCAGCATAACTTTGCTGGAGTCAACTGAGCATTTGATTCACACAAGAGAAGAACAAGATCCATTTTTAAACCTTTGCCTTTCATACCCTAGAGTGGGGGATTTTGGTGCCATGTGGCATTTGCCATTGCTCCAATAAAGACGATTCTTTCCTAAAGGGTTTTCCCATCTTTGTGCTCTGTCTCTGCTCTCAGGAGACGATCCTCCAGCTTCCAATTCTCAGCAGGGTAGCAAGGAATGATTGTTTCTCCTAGTCTGGAATCCAAGCTGTGCCACATTGCTCCAGGTTGCTAGGTGACCATCTCCATGCTGGTATTCTTCAAACTTGAATAGGGCCATTTCAATGCCCGGTAAGAGGTTTTATAAAAGTTGCTCCCTGCAGGGGCCTCTTCTCCTTTGCACCGCTTTTTTGTAGAGACGAGATTATCCCCAAACCCCTTCACAACAGCATGAGAAGATGGAAAGCCCCTCTGAACAACAAAGTCATCTACAAAGCCAAAAAAATTATATGAGGACATAGAAACAAAGGCAAAGTTTAGTTGTCTATATAATAACCAGAGTTGAAGGCTTGCATTGTGTTCTAGAGGATCACTATTTCCTCATGCTTCACTGGAATAGAAACTGGTCTCAGCATCCAGAAAACAAAAAGATGTCGTCTATGTGTTACGATCCAGAGTTATCAAGTATGAGTCTGGATAGACTTGTGCCTTATTCTGTATGTATTTAAAGCGTTGCCACAGTTGATCCCAAAGGCTTGAACTTGGCCACTTCTGCACTGAGAGACATTTTAAGAAAAAAAAGTGTATATATGCATTAATTTCATATCAGAGAGCCAGTGTCATGTAATGGTTTAAGTATTGGACTATGACTCTGAAGACCAGATTTGAATCCCTGAAGGCCCTGAGAACCCTCTGTCTGACCCTGGACAAGTTACACACTCTCAGCTCCCAAAAGCCCCTCGAGAAAGGGTCACTTTAACAACAACAACAACAACAACAACAACAATAATAACTCCCCCCCCCCCCCAAGTCTTTTTCTTTTCTTTTTTTGATGGAAAAATGGGGAAAACGTATTGTGGAATAATTTTGTTCAGAATGATCAAATAATTACAGCAGATGAAAGCTTTTTACGCAAGACTATGCACCGTTCCAAATCATTATAATTCTTGGTTTGGTAACCATTTTCTGTGCATTTTGTAGAAATGTTGACTGACAATATGAAAAAGTAGTTGGAGACAAAATCATATTCTCTGTTTTACTAATGTTGATATTTTTTGTTGTTTGTTTGCTTACTTGGTCTCCCCCTACCCCTATCAAAGTAGCAAAAACCAAAGAGGTTTCTTATTGTTTAGAGGTCAAGTTCACTCCATAACGATATTCTGAATGATAGTTCATCCATAAGATTGCTTTGACTTGCAGTTCAGTATTTGGTGGACTGCATGACTCCCAGTCTTGCAATAGATTACCTTTAAGTCACCTCCAACTCTATGGTTTTAATTTCTGCATACAATGAAACCAAGTTAACAAGAAGATAGAGGGATAAGGATCAGTGGCAAACAGAACTGTCAAGCAACCAGAGAAAAACCAGAGAGGCAGGGAATGAGAGAAAAGTGCAGTACAGTATAACTAATTCCAAAAACAAGGACGTTTCCAGAGTTCCAAGTTCCCAAATAACCAGGTACCAATTTTGATTGTTTTTAAATG